TATTCTCAAAAAGACTCCTTATGAACTTTGGCATGATAAAAAGCCCAAAATTAGTCACTTGTATGTTTTTTGTTGTAAATGTTTTGTGCATAATAATGGTAAGGATAACTTACGTAAATTTGATTCAAAATCTGATGAAGTAATTTTTCTTGGATATTCCTTAACTAGCAAAGCTTATCGTGTTTTTAATAAAAGAACTCTTGTTGTGGAAGAATCTATACATGTGGCGTTTGATGAAACTAACATCTCTGCTCAAAAGCAAATTGTTAGTGTTAATATAGATTTGGAACCAACTGTGGAAGATTCAAGTATCTACAAAGAATAGAACCAACCATGTAAGTTGAACAAAGAGATTGAACAACCTATTCTCCCACCTCAAGAAGAAGGAGGAAACAATGACGATTTTCCAAGAGAATGGAAGTTTGTTCATAATCACCCTAAGGATTTAATCTTAGGTGACCCTACAAAAGGTATTGAAACTCGCTCTTCACTTAGAAATATTAGTAGTAACTTGACTTTTCTTTCACAGATTGAACCTAAAAACTTTCAAGAAGCCGAATTCGATGAACATTGGATGATAATTATGCGTGAAGGGCTTAACTAATTTGAGAAGAAACAAAGTGTGGGAACTTATGCCAAAACCTAAAGATCATACCATTATCGGTACCAAATGGATCTTTCAAAACCAACTTAGTGAATCCGGCACAATTATAAGAAACAAGGCTAGACTTGTTGCACGAGACTACAATCAAGAAGAAGGCATTGATTTCAATGAAACCTTTGCTCTGGTTGCTAGATTAGAAGCCATTCGCATGTTACTTGCATTTGCATGTTTTAGAGATTTCAAACTTTATCAAATGGAAGTAAAAAGTGCCTTTCTTAATGGTTTTGAAGATCATGCTTTTCCAAATCATGTTTTTAAACTATCAAAAGCTTTATATGGTTTGAAACAAGCACCTCGTGCATGGTATGAACGATTAAATAAATTTTTGATTGAAAATAATTTTTCTAGAGGAACGATTGACACAACACTTTTTGTTAAAATTAAAAATGATGATTTACTTACTGTGCAAATATATGTGGATGACGTTATATTTGGTGCTACTAATGAAACCTTGTGTAAGGAATTTGCTAAGTGTATGCAATGTGAGTTTGAGATGAGCATGATGAGAGAGCTAAATTATTTCCTTGGGCTTCAAATCAAACGATGTAAGGAATGAATTTTTATCAACCAAGCTAAGTACACAAAAGAACTACTCAAGAAGTTTGGTATGTATGACTCAAAAATAGCTGGAACACCTATGAGCACATCCATTAAATTAGACAAGGATGAAAAAGGTAAGTCCATTGATCAAACAAAATATCGAGGTATGATCGTCTCACTTCTTTATTTAACTGCAAGTAGACCCGATATTATGTTTAGTGTTTGTATGTGTGCTAGATATCAATCAAATCCTAAGGAATCACATCTCAGTGCTTGTAAAAGAATTTTTAGATATCTTGTTGGCACTCAAAATTTGGGATTGTTTTATCCTAAAGGTGTTGCATTTGATTTAATTAGTTACTCGGATGCCGACTTTGCCGGATGCAAACTCGATAGAAAAAGTTCCAGTGGCACTTGTCACTTTCTTGGTAACTCATTAGTATCTTGGTTTAGCAAAAAGCAAAATTTTGTTGCTTTATCAACGGCCGAAGCTGAATATATAGCTTCCGGAAGTTGTTGTGCCTAAATACTTTGGATGAAACAACAATTGGAGGATTTTGATTTGCATTGTGATCATATCCCTATTAAATGTGATAATACTAGTGCCATCAATTTAAGCAAAAATCTGGTTCAACCCTCACGAACAAAACATATTAAAATTCAACATCATTTTTTAAGAGATCATGTTCAAAAAGGGGATATTATACTTGCATTTATAAACACCGACAAGTAATTGGCGGATATTTTCACAAAACCCCTAAGCGAGGATCGCTTCAATTTTATTCGTTGGAATGTCGATTTCTACTTAAAAAGTTTTGTTATGACTGTGAAACTTAAATTTTTGCTAAAATGATATATGTGTATTGCTACATTGATATGGAACCATTTAAATCAGTTGAATGCTCTCAAGTCCTTCATACATTTATTATCCTTAACAGTTTGCTATTCTTAACTGAGTAATTTTTTTTTTTGGTTCTGCATCTTGAGGTAAAATTAACTTTGCTTACATTAATTTTTTTAAACCCTCATGGTATTTTGTTTACATTACCATTCCAGCAACACCAACGTCCCATTAAGTTTAATTTCTGCTGGTATTATTTTTTTTTTATTTTTTTTATTTTGTTATTTGGCTTAATTTCTTTTATTTTTATTTTTTTCTCATTATTATTTTTTGTTTGGGATTAATTTTCTTTTTTTTGCTTTTTAATTTCATTTTTCAGTACTCAAACATAAAAACAAAAACAAATCAAAATACAAATATTTACATAAAAAAAAAACAAAACACCCTTCATTTTTTTACGGTCACACGCCGATCAAAATAAACATTAAAAAAAAAACCCTTCATTTTTTTCCGACCATACGCCGATCTTACTTACTCGCCTCTTCCATCGTTTTCTTCTTCTTTTTATCACCTTGGGCGACCCTTGACGCCCCTGCCCCCATGCTTTCGTCAAGTGCGATGACTCCCCGCTGACTATCAAAGGTCAAGAACGACGATGCTCCCAATTGAGCCATGGAGGTGGTCTTCCATTTAAGCTCTTTATTTTCGGCCTTCAGTGTGTCTATTTCTGCTCGCGCATCCTTGTACATGCGCTGGAGCAGAGAGAGTTGGGCATTGACCTGATGGAGCTCACTCGTCCTGTTCTACAATCGGTGAGCCAATTTTGTAACTGCCGTCACCGTCTCCATATAGGACGTCAGTGTGAAATGATTGGCTTCTATGTCAGATTGAGCTGCCATGATTTGCTCAATCAATATCATAGGAAGGTTAGGAAGAGGAATGACATGAAGAGTAGGAGTAAAGGCACTCGGTCCAACCAAACTTATGGGATCATTCAGGTCCGGAAATAGAGTGAGGGGACAGGATGGGGAAGCCATGGTTTAGAGGTGAGAAGTGTAAAAGCAATGAGTTACAGAGAAATAGAAGAGAACAGACTGAGGTTTGGTAGAAGAACAGAAGAGAGTGGTGAAGAAGAGATAGAAGAAGCGATAGAAGAGAGTGAGGTGAAGAAGAAGAAGCAGACGAGTGTGATTAAGAAGAAGGCTGAAGAGAAGAAGACAAGGAGGGAGAGATAGCCGAGGCGAGTGGCAATCGAGGAGAGCTACTTTTGTCGGTCGGCTGACGCAAAAGCGAGGCCGCGTGTTCGACGCGATTTTCAACGAAAAAGAAAGGCGCGGGCAATTCATATATATATATATATATGTGTGTGTGTGTATATATGTTTTGATTATCTATTTTTTGATGCCATTTATCACTATCATTTTCCTCCTCCTCCTCCTCCAGATTCTGACCCATGATTTCCTTTTGATAAAGTCACAGGAGGAGAAATTATATGATGTTATATATTATGGTATTATTTGAAAACTAATATGATGATTATGTATTTATAATTTAATATCTTAGTCTCATATCATGTCTCCAATTAAAGCTTATTTATTACACATGTGCTAACCTATGTATTTAGAAATGAATTTAGGGAGCATGACTTGAGGGGGAGCCTTTCTTACTCCCAAATCAAATCAAAACATCATTGTGTGCCATCATCAAAAAGGGGGAGATGGTTAGACTTATTTATTTTGATGATTTATTCAATTATGTTTTAATTTATTTGAAAGAGAAAAATAGAATCCAAAATTTATTTTGATGATTATATTTTAATTTATTTGAAAAAGAAAAATAGAATCAAAATTTATTTTGTCCCATTATTTCTCACCTAAACCTTTATTATAAATGTTGTTAGAATGTATTTAATATTTGATTAAATCAGGAGTGCAAACAGCCCAAAACAAAGGTTCAAACAGCCTAGCACAACAGCAGGCTAAAAGGTTCAAAAGGTTCAAATGGAAGATATTCAAATTAGTAATGATGGAAGTACAATGGCTATAAACGGCTATAAAGGTTCAAAAGGCTAAAAGGTTCAAAAGGTTCAAGTAGAAGATATTCAAATTTGTAATGATAGAGTAGAAGATATTCAAATTGGTAATGATGGAAGTACAACGGCTATAAACGGCTATAAATTCAAATGACTACAATGACTATAAACGACTATAAATGGCTATAAATTCAAATGAATACAATGGCTATAAATGGCTATAATTTTCATTATATATACCAAAGCCTCTAATGTAAACAAGTTGCAAAAAACCTGAAAATATTCTTTGATCTATAATCACTCACATCTATTCTCAGAAATTATACACTGAGCCTTATAGTTTAAGCTCATCTTTCCTGTGTCAGATTTACAGAACAATCAAAGATTCATTTTATATATCTATCTTTGAGAAATATTTATTGTAAGCTTTCTTTAAAAGCAAAAATACCATTTCATCTTGTAAAAGTGTTGCAAATACTGTGTTCTTGAAATCTTGAGAGTGATTGTGAATCACCTAAGATTTGCAAAGGTTTGGACTTGTGAAGTCTGTGTAAAATTCGTGGAGGATTGCTCCATTTGTAAAGAGGTTGCTAGCACCCCTGTGAAGCTAGAAGATAGTGAAAAATCTCAAGTGAAGCGTGAGAAGTGGACGTAGGCCGAGTTGAAGCCGAACCACTATAAATTTGTTTGTCTCTCTCTCCCTTATCTTTTTATTTTATTTTAAATTGCCATAATTATATTTCACATTTTTACTGCGCTAAAATCATTAACTGACATAATTGTTAAGACACTTGTTTTAATTATTTTTATTTTATTAATTATATTTATCTATTGTGCTAGTCATAGTTTTTATTAGGGTATTATTAATTTTAATTGTAAAAACCTAATTCACTCCCCTCTTAGATTGTCTTTTGGATAACACCATGCTTGATGTTGCTGCTAAAGTAGGGCTAGGAGTAAAGGGTCCTAGTGCTTATGAAGTTTCTGAAGTATATTTGGGCATGGAGCATGATGAAATGACAGAATGGATAGGATCATTTAAGGAAATTTGGGCAAAGAGAGGTGTATCCATCATGTGTGATGGTTGGAGCAGTCTAACTCGACAACACATCATCAACTTCTTAGTGTACTGCAATAGAGGTACTATATTTCACAAATCAATTGATGCCTCTAATATTGTTAGTAGGACTGTTGAATATTATTTTGGGTTGTTAGATAAAGTTGTTGATGAAATTGGAGAACAATACATTGTTCAAGTGGTAATTGATAATGAACTTGCACTGAAAGCTGCCGGTAAAATGTTAATAAGAAAAAAGAAACATTTATATTGGACAGCTTGTTCAGCACATTGTATCGATCTCATGCTAAAAGACATAACCAATAAGAAAAGTGTAGCAAAAGTGATTGAAGATGGTAAAACCATCACCAATTTCATTTATAATAGTGAATGGGTGTTCGATTTAATGAGAAAATTCACTGGAGATAGAGAATTGATTCGACTTGCCATCACTCGATTTGCTACAAATTTTATTGCCATTGAGAGTATTTTTAGATATAAACAACAATTGAGAGCTATGTTTAATAGTGATGAGTGGAAGAATTCTAGATGGGGGAAGGCAAAGACTGGGCAGCCTTACAATGTGAAAAAAATTATTTTGGAAAAGGAGTTTTGGCAGAAAGCAACATAGCTTTGTAAAGTTCATGAGCCCCTAGTCAGAGTATTGAGGTTGGTTGATGGGGATGAGAAGCCAACAATGGATTTCATATATGAAGCTATAGATAGAGCAAAGTTGGCAATTAAAAGAGATTGTTGCTATAACACCGAGTATTGGAAATTATTGATACTCGATGGTCTTTTCAATTGCATCAAGATTTGCATGCGGCTGGTAAGTGTTACGATTTCAATTATAAAATGTATATTTATTTACAATTATTAATTGTCTTCTTATTTTTGAAGGATATTTTTTAAATCCTCAATTCCAATATGGTGTTACCTCATCCAATGAAATGATAAGAGAAGTGATGGATGGACTTGAAAAAGTAATTACCAGACTGGAGCCTAATATGGATGCTTAAGTAAAAGCAACAAATCAAGTACATACCAATTATTTAAATTTTAATAGTAATAATCTACTTTTGCAAATGTTACTTGTAATGATTGTCCAAATTGTAGTTGTTTCTGTTTCAAGATAAACATGAAACTTTTGGCACTCCTTTAGAACAAAGAGTATGGAAACAATCAAATCCAGGTTTTATTTTCAAAATTATAAATTTACAATATATAAATACTTAAATAATTTTCTATCATATTTTGACTTATATCTAATGTAATGTAATTTTGTGCAGCTGAGTGGTGGATTATTCATGGCAGTTGTGCTCCTAAACTTCAAAAAATAGCTGTGAAAGTATTAAGTCAAACCACCACATCATCTCACTGTGAACGTAATTGAAGTACTTTTAGTCTCATCCATACGAAGACGATGAATAGATTGAAATATAAGAAAATTCAAAGATTAGACTTTATCACCTACAACATGAGATTAAAATTGAGACACGTTAAAAGAAGCAGCCAATAGGAGATTGATAGGAGTTTTAATCCTATTAACTTGGATTACAAGTACATGACAAAGTATTCAGATTGTTGACATGGGCACTCCGGCAGGTAATGACCTCGGATCAAGACATAGGCTTCAGCAAGTAAGGCCTCAATGATCTTGGCTAGGAAGGATAACACTCGGCCTAGATGTGCCACACCTCGGCCTAGATGTGCCACACCTCGGTCTAGGTCATTCCAGTCCCGGAACAAGATCGCTAGGTGCAAGGATCAAAGATCTAGGACGCCTAGATGATAACATCTCAGCCTAGATAATGCACATCTCGGCCAATATGCCAGGGTGAAGGTAGAGGTCAACCAAAGTGGTTCCAAGATGGTCCTAGGTGTAAAAGGCTCAAAGGTGTGACCTAGGCTGAACACACACCAAACAAGGAACAAAGCATGCAATAACACTTAGATAAAACAAAACAGGATCTTATGAATGCAACTTAACAAGACAAAATCATATAAATGCATGTGAGCATGACTAAGGCAAAGTGAGGATTGTTACAAAAATGGTCCTCTAGGATACGGTTTGCCAAATTATCAACAAGCCCAAGAAGAGTATGTTGATCCTTTTCAGCCAAGATATCCATTTTCTCTCCCAATGCACGAAACAGAAAGTGATGACATGATGAGCACATTCACTTATATATTTCCTACTGGATGGGGTGAAGGTAGCAGCAATGAAGCTCAACATTCTGATTCCCAAGATGCACCACGTCACTTATTTTGGTGGGGTGAAGGTAGCAGCAACAATCAAGCTCAACAATCTGAATCCCAAGATGCACCACGTCACTCATTTTGGTGATGACATTATGTAATTTTAGTAGTAACATTATGTAAAATGCACTCTCTGTTATTTGTGATTTATGCTATGATGTTATGTACTTTGTCAAGTTCTTCTATTAAGGATGTATACTTTTTTAAAACTATTTGAGTTAAAATGTACATATGCTTCCACAAGTATAATAATTAAAAATAATTTTATACATCTAAGTCCAATAAAAGAAATTTTTGCCACAAGTGTAATATGGATTTATGACATATAAAGTCATTAATTATTGAAATAAAATGTAAAAAAATTCATTTTCTAGTGATTTAAAAATATGAAATATATTGAATTATACTTAAAAATTATAAAAAATTTATCAAAATTTATTTTAAAACCCAATAAATATGATTATAAAAAAAAATATGCATATCGGTAAGTTGTTTGCAAATTGTGCGAAAAATAAAAAAATTCACAATTTCGGTAACCGCAACCGTTACACTACGGCCTTTACACCCCGCAACCGTTTTTCAGAACCTTGCCTCCAAGTGAAAGTGTAGAGATTCCTTTAGATTCCAATGTGGGATCCAAGAAAGAAAATAAAATAAAGACATGCAGACTATTATTGTCATTAGTAAATAACATATAACATGTAAAGTGTAGGTGTGCAAAGTGAAATTCACCCTTTGTCAAATTGTACTTTTAGGCATTTCTGGCATTTCCTATGTTCAATCCCTTGAATAATCACCTATAGTTGTCAATGCCTTCTTGTCACTGGTTTTGGTTTGAACTTAACAGAAAATTAAGAAACTTTGAATTTGAGCTGTTGATGCGCCAAAATCACCAAACAACATCAAATTCTCATGAAACTTGGCACGCATGACCACCTAGGCACAAGAGAGTTTTGGGAGAAGACAAGACTCAAATGAGATTCCTAATTTGGAAATTAGAGCTAAATTTTGGTCTGCGCACACTTAGTCATGAGAAATTTGAATTCGTTTTAATTGCAATTCTCAAAGACATATTTTCAATTTTGCGAAGTTATTCCAAGTTCAATTAAAGGTGAAAAGGTGGCTTTTCTTTGGTCTCTACACCCAAAGCATACAATAAATTTTTTTGTTTCAAGTGTCTACCAAACACTGCAAAATGAAAAGGTTTTTTTTTTTGGTTTGCAAAATCAACTTATATGAAAAATATTTTCGAATGTAAAATATTTTATGTCAAAACAAATGGAGCTTTTGTGTAAATAATTATTGCCAACTGCGGGTATGTCTATTTGGTCCGGGCTATATAGCACTAAAAAAAGTTAATTTGATATTTTATCAGAATGCTTACACCTATAAAATTTTCTATCAAGTCTTAGTTTCTTCCAAGTCTCTTTAGATTGGCATTTAAATTCTTAAATGGTTGATTGCTTGCATGCTGATAGAAAATTATAGAGAACTTATGAACTGTGTTACTAATATGTGGGGCGATTGTAAAGTATCTTCAATTTAAGTATCCTTTTAAATTTGGACTTCCTAAACATGGGGTCATAACACGACTTTCTTATTTCTTAAATCTGTTTTAAAAATCAAATAGATTGCAAACATCAACTTAATAATTAATATAGAAAATTTCTTACATTATAGGAGTCCAATTCATGTAAATTTAATGATTCTATTTGTCACATGTGAAATGCTCCGTATGATGCACCCATGAAACATAAATGCATTATATGCCATCATGTATGTTGGATTATGATGCTATATCTAATTTTCATTCTTATGTGATATTATCTTTTCTTATGATATAGGCAGACATATTGTTGCGAGGATACAATGGTTGGAACTCAAGACGTGCTATTCAGGTTCTTGATAAAAAAATTTCCGAAGGCATCACTTTTTTTTTTTTTCTATGTCAATAAAATCTGCTTTGGAAACATTTTTGCAACCTTACTTTCAAAGAGCCACATATGGGGTGCACGACATTGGTGTTGGTTACTTTTTTTTCTGCTACTAGAAAATATCACAGGCTCACAAATAATAGTCCCTGAAATGGGTTTACCATGTTGTAATTTAGCCTTAATTAGTTCCTATACATTATGACGGAATAAATTTAATGGCCTTATTATTATTAAGACAAGAACATTTAGAAAAAAATGATTTTTTTAGTTGTTCCCAGACAGAGCCTGAATGGACGGGGTGCACCACCCTTAAAACTATTTTGGCAGGTCCTTTTTTCTAATTGAGGATAATTATTGATGTACAATCTAACCCTATATCTTAATGTCAGAGCCTTTCAGACACAACGCGTGTAATTTCCTTAGTTGTCCACCTGTCAACGAGGCCAAAGTTCAAGAAAACACAAGGTGCTTAAATGCATATCTATTTTGTTTCTTGGTTCTCATTTAAGGATTATCTTCTAATTTAGTTTTACCTTCAGAAACAGTAAAATTTTTAGTGAGCTAGTGCGAACAAATGAATTATGCTGAAGTTATTTAGAAGCTTGTGTAGAGTTGTGCCGGGAGATGGGTGTGAAGGTTGTTGATCTTTGGACTGCAATCCAGCGACGAGATGATTGGTCGACTGCTTGCTTTACGTAAGTGATGCGTATTTTCTTTTTCTTATATTGTTAAGATCATCAAATTGACCATGCCTATTGCGAGGAATGAGGCAATATAAACTGGTTATTGAGGTTTATAAGCACTCAATCTATGCATCACAGATGGCAAGGGCAAACACAGAGTGGTGCTCAGTCAAAAAAGTCTAAAAGCTAAAAGAAAATGTACTGCAACTTTTCATAGTTCTTATCACACTAGAGATCTAAGGGAAAGTGAAATTATTTGAATGGCTCAAATTGGAAATTTAGAAGATCAGGATTAAGTACTACACCTGTATAGGCAATCTACATGTATGTAACATGGACAGCACACAAAGGCTGAGATCTAGCAATAAATTTACTAAGACCTGCCTATGAGCTCCTTTCATCTGTAACAGATTAGATGGAAGTTGATTTTTACCCATGCTATGTTCCATTTCATGGTCGATAATGAAAATTTTTCTGAAAAAATTTCAGATGCGGCACTTATACATATACTAGATATATACATCCAAAATTATGCACCAAGTGTGCTGAAAGAAGCAATGCCTTCAAAACCTTGGGTTATTCCTCAGGCCTCCTGCATAAACAATGTCTAGTTCCGTTGCCGACGGACTTCATGTGGTGATGGTATTTCTCATCACGTGGCGATGGTATTTTCACTTACACAAAAACAAATATATATATATATATATATATGGTTTTAGGATTTTATGTTTTTCACATTTCAAAAATCCAAGTAGATGCATTTTTTCCCATTATTGTTTAGTGCTTTAGCTTTGGTTGCGGCTATTTTTATTACTTATTTGTGTATTTTAAAACCTCCTGTTTGAAGTTTCAGTTATGTGATTTTTACTTTTACCCAACTTCTCAAATGTGGTGTTGTCTACACAAGTCTAATAGGCTCATAGAGATCACTATGAGGCTATTAGACTGCATATTTGCTTACTGTTCTCTAACAAATTTGCAGTCTAATAGGTTCTCCGTTCTATCAACGACAACCATGAAACTGCCATAATGCAATTCGTAAACTATGGACTTGTTAAAGCTGCCAAATGAATGAAGTTTAATATAAGATACATCTTTGTTTTTGATTATCCATTTAACTTTCTATCCAGGGACGGGGTTCATTTATCTGCAGAGGGGCGCAAGGTAGTGGTTGCCGAGATACTCAAGGTGCTCAAGGAATCAGAATGGGAGCCATGTCTACACTGGAAGTCCATGCCCACCTATGAAGCACGGGTACTCCAAAAATAGTGCCGTACACGCACCGGGTACTTACCGGGTGCGGGTACGCGTACCGGTACGGCTGCACGCGTACCGGGTACGGCAAAAACCACTCCGGTACGTCTGCCTCAGTTGGGTACGGCATGGGTACGGCTCGGGTACGGCATGGGTACGTATTCGGTACGTTTTGGGTACGTTGGGGCAGAAATCAAATTTTCTGGAGATTGAGGGGTACCGGAGCAATATTAAAAAAAAATGAAAAAAAATGAAAAAATGAATATACGAATTTCATCCATTTGCCCTAATTTCATCACTTTTGCCCTAATCTTATCAGTTGAGCAACGCAGAGGCGACTTCGACCTAGCTTTGTCTTCAACTTCGACTTCGACCCTCATCTTTGACTTCGACCCAGAGATTACCCTCGTCTTCGACTTCGACCCTCGTCTTCGACTTCGACCCAGAGATCACCCTCGTCTTCGACTTCGACCCACGGCATCGGGTACGACTTCTTCTCCTTCTTCTTTGCTGTTTCATCACCCTCGTTTTCTCTCATCTTCTTCGTTTCTTCTTCATCTCATTTTTTTTTTGTTGGCAGAGATCAGCAAGCATGTATCATCTATTTTCGCCCCCTGCAGATCAGCCATACCAAGCAACTGGTCAGAATCTCTCCATCTTTATTTTTTTTTCATTTTTTTTCTTGTTTCTTGTTTCTTCTGCAGAGAGTTATAATCTGCTGTTGTCATGTTGATGTAGTTTAGGTTCATAAATATTAGAAATATTTAGGTTCATAAAAATTAGATCAGAATGTTAATCAAGCAGTTTAGGTTCATAAATATTAGATCAGAATTAGATCAGAATGTCAATAAAAATTAGATCAAAAAATTAGAAATATTTAGGTTCATAAAAATTAGAAAAATTAGATCAGCAGTTTAAGTTCATAAATTAGATCAAAAAATTAAAAAATTAAAAATTAGATCAGAATGTTAATAATCATAAATATTATTTTTATGATATTGGTGTTGGTTGTTTTTCCTTTACTTGGATTATGGATTGAATTGGTGTTGGTTATGTTGAATTGAAATATATTAATATTTGTCTTTTAGTTTTATGGTTCTCTTTTAGTTTTGATATTTAATTTCAATTTGTAGATTGGATCTTTTAACCATAATTATAAAAAATAAAAAAAAATATCGGTGTACCGCAGCCGTACCCGTACCCTACTTTTTTGGGGTTTTGCCGTATCGGCGTACCCGTACTCGTACCCGTACCGTACTCGTACCCGCACCCGTGCTTCTTAGATGCCCACTGAATTTGGCGAGGATTCGCCGTACTACCTAGCTGCTAATGATGGAAAAACGACTATAAATCCATCAGACTGGACCTTTTACAGGGAAATACAATGGGACTAGTGTAGACGTCCCCGAACGCCCCGAGAGGATGAGTTCCGTTCTGTTCATTTGGGCTCACTACAGGTTTGGACTCTCAAATTGTCACGGTTCTAAATCTGAACCAAAGAGTCCAAATCCGGAAAATCGTTTTGAGAAAACAAATTTTGAAAGAAGTACCAAACATGGACTGCTTTGCCAGATACAGAGTCGCTACCTAAATATTTTATTTTTGGGAAATTTAGGAAACCCTGACTCGTTGCCTAAGGCCACGTGTCCGTCATCACCAAAGTTGCCTCAGCTCGGGAACTTGGGTACGATTGGGGAAGGTCACTTTGTGAGTACCCCTGCTCGCCCAATCAAAGATCGGCCTCTACTAACCATGATATCTAGTTTTGAAAACTTTATGCGTTCTTATTCCGGTTATTAGCCTAGATTTACTATGTGATGCGCACAGTATACAAGTATAGACTGGATCGTCTGAATTGGAACAAAACATTTCATGTTTATTTTTGAAAGTAATTTGATGGTGCTATCCGCAAGTAGGCTAAGACGTGGATTTGCCACCCTCGGGTGGGCTTAGAAAATATGATTTTGCCACTATCTAGTGGGCTTAAAACTCACGGTCAACGAATTATTTCAATTCAAATAACCCAGCCTTCACCCATAGGCATTCAGGCAGTTATATCATATAAGCATATAGCCTCATGGTAAGCATGCTATTATGGCAGTCACTCACACGCATGCAAGGATGCTAAAGCATAAAGCTTACCGAGTAGTCCAAGCCAAAACAGAAGCTTATTAGAAATCCATGCATGATCCTAACTATACAGAAATGCCTAATGCAACACATGCAAAAATGCAACTATAGAAAGCTCGGCTATTCTAAAGATGGCATGCGAAATGCTACAACTAACAAGTATTCAACTCGGAATTGAAATACAAATGCAGTTAGTACGATGCGCCGAGCCCGGTGCATGCAAGACAGATGAATGAATGCAAACATGCTATCATACTGTATGTTATTTGAAACATGCCCTATCTAACCATCATAAGCGGGTAAATAAAAGGGAGAAAGACCTGGGGTTGGAAGACATACATCACACACACGCACACTTATTACAGTTGTGCCCTCGCGCCGATGTCCGAAAGAATAATACAGTCCCAAATGAATAAATAATACATTCTCGAATAAATACAGAATCCTAATTAATTAACAAATTAATCTAGGAAAGCAATAAATTGGCACGCAAATCCATGGACCGCCTCAGCTCTGTTCCAAATGATGAATGATGCATGGCAAAGTATTTTCACATATGTATGCATGACTACTCTTCGGGGAGTGTAGTCCTCGATCCTCGTGCCGCCAATCACGCATCTCGATGCATGATGGCCGAGGAGTCGAATTGCATGACTCAATATGGAATGAATGCACATGAAAACACAACAGGGCCTAGACTCCATCATGGATAATCTGGAGTGTCGGCGACCGGGAATTAAGACATGTTCCGTCACTCGGAGTACGAAACGTTCTTCGTTTCCCGTGCTCGGGCTAACTCCTATCCCAAACACAATGCGATATGCATGACATGCATGAATGCAATCCTAACATGCGACCTAGCATACACAATGCTATGAAGTGGCATACACAATGTATGATGTAACGAGGCATACACAATGCTCTAACATACAACCTAGCATACATAATGCTATGAAATGAAATGGCATACACAATGCACGATGGACTTACACCAACATGAGTGGACCTCAAACACACTCACATCAGTAGCCATTAGGTGAAAATGGGACTATCAAAATGCGTGCACACATGCACGCAAACCGAGGACCGATCCTAAGGCACAACATGTAACTCTATCAAGGCATGGCAAGGGATGCAAGATGGCATGCAAACTCACAAATTCCAGCACTGAAATATGATGCTAAACAGCCCCGAAACATGAAAAAATGGCACCCGATGCATGAGATGAAACCCGAAACTCGAAACTAGGTGCATGGAATGACTTATAGCTATATAAAGCATGCATTATTTGATCATGAAGCATGAAGACAAAGCCAAGGCAGTCCCAAAACATGAACATTTCCAGTTCAAAGCATGGCCAAAAGATGCTAGCATGGTGGACAAAATAGCATGCAATCTTGACTAGCAATCATGGTTTACACGGAAAGTATATGAAGCAAATGTAATCTCACCAAACCAGCAAAAATCAGTGAATAAATCATGTGAAAATAGGCCCAAATAACCACTGATATTCAACCATGGTATGCAAAAATAATGAGTTACTTTGGAGGGCCATGCAAGGAGTTATTAAGCACATGCAAGGTAGACATTTAACATGGCATAAACAACTATGAAAATCAAATATGGTAGTCCTAAAACTCACCAAATTGACCCTGGAAAGTGACTTCAAAGCATGCAAGATAGGGTCTCTTTGGAAGGCCAAAAATGACCACCAAACAAGAGAAGGAGAGAGGGGGTCACCCCCCTCTAATCTTGACTCTCAAAATAGTGTTCTAGCCACTAAAAATCCACTGGATTTCAGTGGCTAGAAGGCCAAACAAAGCATGCAATTGGGGCTTAGGTGTAAGGCTCAAAACAAGGGACAATCAAGCATACAAGGAAGCATGTGACCACAAATAAAATAATTTCCTTAATAAAACATGAAGATGATGTCAAAACAAGCCTTTTTCCAGTTTATAACAAGTCTCAAAAATGAACATAAATAGGGCTAATCTATCATGCAAAAATGGCCCTAAAAGAGAGAATAGAGACAAGGGACAGCAGCTGGCCCCAAACAGTGAAGAGCATTTCAACAAAGTTGAAGAGGGGCTCAAAATGAAGCACTTTACAGTTTATGACCAAGTCCAAAACAGCTCACAAGTAGGGCTACAATATGATGTAAAAAAAGGCCCTAAAAGAGAGATAGAAAGCAAGAGGCAGTAGCTAGCCTCAAACAGTGAAGAGCCCTTCAATAAAGTTGAATAGGGGGCTCAAAATAAAGCACTTTACAGTTTGGCTCGAAGCCCAGAAATGCTTACAAATAGGGCTAACATATCATGCAACAAATAGCCATAAAAGAGGGATAAAGGGAAAGGGGTAGCATGTGGCTTCAAACAGAGAAAAACCCTTGATCAAACATGAAGATAAGCTCAAAATAAGACCATTTCCAGTTTGGGTTAGAGCCCAAAAATGCTAGCAAATATGGCTTAGATATAGAGAAAAATAAGGCAAGAAAAGAGGAGAAGAAGATTTACCCTTGAAGACCAAACTTCAGCAGCTCTTGGACCAAATTTCTGAGCTCTCAACCTCTTCAAAACAGTCCCAAAATGTTGGAATGGAGGATGGAGGCCTTGTGCTATGGGTTGGTGTGTAAATGGCCAAGAACCAAGGGTGTTTTGAGACTTGGAAGAGAGAGAGAGGGAGGATTGTATGCAATGGCCCTAAACAATTTTTTGTAACCCTTCAAAATGCAGGAGAGTGCTGGTTTTAAAGAGGGAGAGAGGCCAAGGAAAGGGGGGAAAATTAAATTCAAATTCCCCCCCCCCCTAAAAGGCAACCCCCCGGATACAAAATCTGGGGGAAAACAGAGGGTACAGCTGGAAGGCACTTGGAGAGAGGATTCTGGCCGACCAGGTTCAAAAGGTTCAGGTGGTCGGCCGGCCACCCCCCTGGCCGGCCGGCCAGGGGTCAAAAGGGTCAATGAAAATTGCTGGCCGGCCACCCCAAAAAGGTGGCCTCCCATGTGTGCACAACACAAATATGTGGTCAAAACCTAGAAAATGTGAACCAAGAGAGAGAAAAGCCAACTTTTTAGAGTGGTTCAAAAGGGTCAGAGACAATTACTGGCCGGCCTATACATATTGGTGGCCTCCCAGGTGTGTACAACATAAATATGAGGTTTAGGGCTAAAGAAAGTGGCCTCGGGGTGCTCAACATTAGCTTTTTAGTGAGGAAAACAGGCGACGGAGAGCGATGAAGAAATAAAGCTAGCTTTTCAGAACAATTGCTGGCCTCCCACCCTCCTACAAGCTTTCTAACAATGAAAATAAGGTCTCCACCAAAAATGAACCAAAACGGATGCAAAACGGAGGTTCGGAGACTGAAACGCGCGGCCCAAGGCCCCAAAAATGGGCTGTTAAGCACCGGAGGTGGCATTCGACCACGAAGTTGGTCTCTCGAGCCACAGTGTTCCTCAAAAGGGAGGAAATAAGGTGTATACCAAAAATCAGAGCAAACGGAGGTGGTTAGGCGGTCCCAAACCGAGGTACACGACCGACGGCTCCGAAAACCGAAAACCGAAAACCGGAAATCGGGCTCCAAACGGGAAAAATGGCCTACGA